AAAAAAAAAAAAAAAAAAATTAAAAAAAAAAATAGTTGGCTTGCATTCGGGACCATGGTGAATGAAAAATATGTATTGTATCTTTTTTTAATGTTTAGTTATTTTGAGAGAGTGTATGAACGTGAGTGGGGGAGGGGTAGAGAGAGGGTGGGAGAGAGAGGATCCCACACAGGCTCTGTTTTGTCAGTGTAGAGCCCATCGTGGACTCAATCCCATGAACGGCTGAGCCAAAATCAAGAGTTGGACACTTAACTGACCAAACCACCCAGGCCCCCCTATATTGTATCTTTAAACTGTGGACTTTCACTCAGTGCAGCAGTAGATACTGCAAGGGGCACTTGGGAACTGAATCCACTGATTCATATTTTCTTATTCATATGCTCACTATGCTCGTTGAGTATAAGTGCTCACTGTTTAGTGTTTTTTCCTTCCCTCTTATTTTGTAAAATGAATAGTTAATATTTCCTATCTTGTACTCTCATTTTAATACTATTCACTTTGCAAAATGAAAGGAACAAAACCCACTATTTAATGAGATTCCCTTGTATTCATTTTGTATATCTGATGAGATTACATGTTTCTCACTTCTGTTTCTCTCTAATCTCTTCCTGACAGCTAAAAAAATGCCCACATCAGCCTGAGTTTACGTGACCCTACAACCCCTCACCTTCTAAGATCTGATTTAGTTCTCTGCCACAATTTAGAGCATTTGGCCCAACTTGGGTCATATGTCCACTGCATTCTAATTGGTATGATTGGGGCAAAGTTACTGTAAAGCAGTCTATTTTGGGACTTTGGGTAGGCATCTCCCCTAAGAAAGGGTTTGGGTGGAAGAAATTATTGGCATCTCTCCCTCAGAGGGGAAGATGTTTGTTTTCCCAGCTCTACCACTAATTAGCATTTGTACCCAAAACAGTTGCTAACCTGTTGTTGTCTGAGAATCTTCATCTGTGAAATGAGAACTTCATTGTATAGGATTCCCTTCAGTTCTGAAGTTGTAGGGAAGTAATATGCAGAAATGTAATTTAGCCTTCAAATGAAAAGATCCCAGTAGTAGTAAGATGGGTTTTATATCAAAACAGTTGAAAATTACAAAGAACACTAACCTCTTACTTTGGATTGTTTCCCGGATGCTTTATTATTGCCATTAAAAGTGAAAGTTATTTTCAGGGTGCCTGGGTGGCTCATTTGGTTGAACGTCTGACTCCGGCTCAGGTAATGATCTTGGAGTCTGTGCTGACAGTTCAGAGCCTGGAGCCTGCTTCAGATTCTCTGTCTCCCTCTCTCTCTGCCCCTTATCCGCTCACGTTCTGTCTGTCTCAAAAATGAATAAATGTTAAAAAAAAATTTTTTAATGAGAATTATTTTCAGTTTTCAGACATTTGAGATATTATTATTAATATTTCATGAATGTATTTTTCTCCACTTTTTTTCTGTTTCTTTTTTGTTTTTGTTTTGCAGTTTCTCCCTCCATTTGAACCATTCTCTTCCTAACCCTCTCTTATCTGCCTTCATACCCCACAATGGGCCAGAGGGAGAACACAAA